TAAAAATCGATACTATACATTTATACATGATCTACTGATGTGAACAGGCTTCTCATTATAGATTATATTATTACTACGTTTGTTTTTGTTATGTAGCTGAAATATTGTAAGTACACTGCTTTTAGTAAGCAATGTGAAAATGAGACGTACTCAGCCTCACTCTAATTATCTCTTATGAGTAAGTAAAATCTGTGAGACCATAATTTATGGACGACCTTTGAGCGACTCCATTGACCTTGAGAAAATCCACCTACCTAGTAGGGTCTAAAGAGGGCTATAAATTTCTGTGAGAAATTAGAGTCGAAACTTAAGGTTAGAAGTTAGGGTTAAGAGTTATGGTTAGGTTTTCATCACAAACCAACTCCAGCTCTAATGCCGAAACTCTATTTAGTCATATATATGTGAATTAATTTCGCACCGAAATTCAAGACTCGCTATCTTATATCTGGTTAGTTCATCCATAAATTATAGTCTCACTGTAAAATCCGCATATGCAAAATTTACTTCAGGATACATTTATATACATACGGCTGCAATAAATAATTATTCCTTGATCATCAGCTGCCCATGTGTAAGCGCTTAGATTATATCATAAAACAGAACACCTCATCAACTTGTATCATATTTTACTACAACACCGTAAATCAATAAGGTTAACTAAAGCCGAAAAAAAGAGAATGTTTAAAATAAATAAGACGAGCGTGAGTTGAATGCAAACAAGTGGATAAAATGTCCAACAGTGAAGGAAAAATTAATTGAGAACAAATGTGTTGAAGTGATTGACAGAGGATTCATTGTCATTAAACTCTACCGTTTTTACAGTAGCAGCAGTGAACTTTTTGACATGAATGGCGTCAACAGACACTAGTTTCATGAAGCGATATTACATTACTTAAAATCTTTGCACACAAGTACCTGAGAAAATAAATAAGTCCTAAGTATATCACCAGTACAACGTCAACATGAAGTAAATATTCTCAATCTTACTTCAAATGTTAATATGTAAAAAAGAAAATGTACCACTAAGATATAGTATTTTCAATACTGCTTTAGAGTTTCAACTCACTAGCGGAATGTATAAATGACATTTTGTAAATAATTGTCAATTAAACTATTATGTATTACAAATACGATTGCCTTATTTCTAGTTACTCATCGCTGACAAAGCAATTAGTGCACAGTTTGACCGCAGCCTGTCAAAATCCAACTACATTTTTGACAATTTTAAACAATCTAGGTAAACGTTGCAACGTTTATTACAGAAATACACATAATTAAAACACTATTTATCTCTAATTAATTTCAGTGAAGCTTTCAAAATTATTGCATGGAACAGAATAAACCACTTACATAAAAATAAATATTTAATTAAACTAAAATATAATCGGCATGTCGACATTTTTGTCATTTTCATTTGTCAACCATCAGACCCCTACCTCTATTACATTTTATAAAACTTTAAATATAGCCCATCTCTGTCCTCTTTCAATCTTCTTACATACTGGTCATTTTATTACCACTGAAATCAGTATATTTACCTAGGTAATCAACAAGTGGTATTTGAACTGCACTCTGAAAACCAGAATTTTATTATTAGGCCTCTAGTTATCCAAAAGTAATCAGTTGCAGTGTTTTAAGTATTTATAATTAAATGTATCTAGAAATAATTATTGTACGCATAATACAATAGATGTTACTCTGATCACATGAGAATAAATGAATACTGACAAACAAAATGATTTTTTTTCTTAGATATTTTATTGGAATGAATTCATTATTTAACAGTAAACATATGAAAGCTCTTTGTTAGCAAAAAGCTTTTAATTTTCTTTTTTTATATTCAAGTTAATATAAATAGCTAGTTCCTCAGATGAACATAAATATTTATGGTATATCGTTTTAACTATTGTCATTTACCATTAAAACAACAGTTGATGTATTCGTCTTCATATAGTTATATAACAAATTCAAAAGAAAAGATGTCAAAAATGTATTTAAATATAAAGAAAGTTTAAAATTCTTGCTTACAAGCTCATTTTTAATTACACATTATTCAAAAGGTTTACATTTAGAGTATAATCAAAGCATCTCGTGATATTCTTCTTAATCTAAAAAAAGTGATTATACTGTAGTTAAACTTATGATCAACTATTTATAAATTCCATAAAAAGCAATAATAATTTAAAAAGAATACTTATATAAATATATAGAATAATAATGCTAACAAAATCTTCCCAGAAAAATATTTTTAGAAATTAATTTTACTGCTTCTTAGTTAATTATACATGAGTACAAACATATGGGAAAAACTGTTACTAAACCTTGTATTTATGACATTTATCTCATGACCACTACATCCTATACTGTTCAAATAACACTAACATGAAATCCGGTTTATTGAGCTGATTTTCAAGGTACCAAACATCGACAGTAACTATCTATTAATTTTGATTCTAACTCAATGAAGAATTGTATTTTTACTTTCTAATTCGAATAACTAAAAGAGAGTTAATAACTGTCAACACAGCAATATAAAAATCGTATTAGTCTTTCGTCATACATTCTGGATATGTTACTATAGTATTCAACTTCTGATAATCCAGTCATTTAACATAGTGTTTTCTTATGCATTTTATTCTCCTTACTTTAAACAACCATTTTACCTTATTGATCAAAATTCATCTCAGATTTATAGCTTCCTCAAAATGTAATAAAAATAAAGTAACAGTTTAAACGTAAAATTACTTTCAATACAGACAGTCTAATCTTTACATTCCGATATTTTATTTGCTTATTTATCCAAAGATAGTACTCAAAGAAGCAACGGAGACCTTTACAAGTGTTGCCAAAAATTTATTGACAGTTTCTCACCAAATCCAGAAGATACTTTCAAGTCATCTGTATGAAAACACTATACAAATTTCCCGTAAAATATATTGGTTTTCGACTAGTCTTCTTATAGCTTTTGGCACCAAAATTATGCAATATTTACATCTTTCCACTGACGAGCACTCCTTCGAATGTTTTTCAGAATTTAAAGAAATATTTTCACCTCTTTTAAAAGCTATTTGAACAATGAATTGTCAGATAATAATCATTAGTTTTGGAATACAAGATTACTTTAAGTGAACATCTAACTGAGCTTTTAAAAAACATCTCAGCAAAGCATTCAAATACTAAAGCGGGTTGTAAACTCGAGTCAACTACACAATGGTTTAGTACCTGTCTGTAGTTTTAAAGCACAATTTAAGACGAAGGAATAAATAATCACTAATATTTGTGATCCATCTCGTCGAGAACCAAGATCAAAATAAAAACATGTTTTGGGTCAATCGATTGTCTACATATGTAGTGGAGATCATAAAACACCTGCCAGATTTCTATCAGGCCGAACATTTTTGTCTGTTAAGTGCAGAGTGTGAATAGTTAAAAATAAAGAGAAATATGATTCACTTCTGATTAGAAAAGAACTCGTTGAAGTAAAAGCAGCTTAAAAGCCACTCTTCTGTTTACTTTCTGTACTTACCTATTTGAATTGAATGAGTGTTTTTGTATTTAAATATCTAAACTAAGGACTGAACCCAACATTATACATATACATATATATACATCACATTCTCTCATGTAGTTACTCAGTGAATATGATCACTGGATAAACATTTTCAGATACACTCAGGACAATCGTATACCGAAATCCAGTCTTTGCAACATTTTTATTGATTTGTACTTTTATTTACAATTGGTACTTTCATTTGTAGCACATGAGTACAACCTGTAAGGAGGAACTAACGAATGATAATATAATTCGATCATTTAAAGGATCGCTTCTAGTGTAGAACATCTATTTTGAGTTGAAATGTCTTCTTCTCAAACCTATCTACATGTCTCAACATCTTAAAACTAAGATTTAAACATCCATTGATTCTGTCAACCTAATTTGATTGTTATGTTATTATAGTATACTAAAAAGCCATTATTACAAATGAAGAAAAAGTAGTGATTAACAGAGAACAAAGTGTTCACTGTATTACACATTTTTCATTGAACAAAAATTTAACGTATATTCATCTTTCTCTAACGGTATCATACAATGACATCACACTACTCGTTTTGTCTAAAAATATTTGATTTAATTATAAAATATTCTGTTAATTTCCAAATAAAATATGTTGTATATACAATAATACTTACTGTTCGAATACATTTTGAAGGTTAAAAACTTGTCGATTAAGTGTACTCGAATAAAACAGTAAATTGGACATTAAATTTCTAGAACCAAGCATAACTTTGGACATATCACTTCTTTTAGAATAATTTTTATTCTTAAATTTGTATAATTTGTTTTACACGTAACTCAATTTCCAGTCTGAGTACCGAGTATGCTTAATTTACTTTTATCTTTAAATCGTAATGGTGCATTTTCAACAGAATGATTTGAAATGTACATAATTTAAATATACTTTCCAAATATTTAATTTTCCAAGACACATAAACACACATTTATATGATGATTGTTTTGGAGTGTGAGTAGAGATGAAAGTTAACCTGTAAAGTTTCCACTCTTAGATGTATCTGCTTTTGAGTTTACCAGGTAAACAAATTAGCAACAACTGAATAAATTTCAGTTTCCTCCATTCTTTGAATAGAATGGAACATTCATACATGTTAGACATCTAGTTGTTTTATAGCTTTTATTTTAACTGTATTCAGTCGATAGTGTCCAGAAATATTGATTGAAGTAATGATCTCAGTAACGTTTTAGTGCCAACTAGAAAGAACAAAAACATTTCTTAAAATAATGGCAATATTAACAAATGATATACAGATTGTTTAAGTGCTTTGAACCTTCTAATAGTGAGATCTCCAAAAAATGTGATCAACCAATTTGTGGATATTTAACTATGAAACAATAATTTTTCGCTAGTTTTGACAGTTGATTTAAATAACACTTACCAAAACTCAACATAGTTTAAACAGAAACCAGAAGATGGGTGTCCTCTTTAATAATAGTACCCATCGTTATTACTCCTTCTGCAAACGTAAAAAAATATTTTAGATGAAATTAAAAAGCTTTTACAAGAGCAAATTGTTTATATTGCAGGTTTCAGCCAGTTCGTCTGATCGTCTATAGATTTAGATAAGTAAGCAGAAAACTACTTATTAGTATCAAATATCTCAGTTTTCATGAGAAAATCAAAATCATATAACGAAGGTGCACAAAAAAGTCTAGTAAAAAGGTGGTAACACGCGATACAAAACATATGAAGTCCCAAAATGCTTTTAGTTAAAATACTGACATGTATAATTTATCAGTGAAAACAAGATTTCCCAACACAGCCAACAGTGTTAATCATGTCACTTCATCGAAATGTTATAAAAAATAATTCTGAATAGCTGAAACCAGTCAATAACAGGAACACAATTGTTTGACCAATTAGAATATATTCTAAAAAGTGAGGATCAACCTATATGTAATCCCAAGTTTTCCTAAAATAATCTTAAAATAGACTTTTGAAATGATCTTTCGAACAACAGTTTACCTAGTCATGTTAAATCCAAACAGTCAAGTTTAAAATAAGTAGAATGGTTAACAATTGCATTGTATTTAACTGCTGATCCATCAAGTATAAAAAAATACTCTGTGTTTACTTTACAAACTAAACAAAACAAACCAAAAATGAACCATATTGTTTTTGCACGTATACTTATAAGTAGTGAGGGAACATTTAAAAGAATACGTAGGTAGATCAAAAATACCTTAATTTATAATAGTAAATACTTTGTTTTAAGAACGAGATATTTGATAGGCTACATAAATTAAGCTGTAATTCCTCCTTAAACTTCTGTACTTTTTAATAGTAATAAGAGTTTGTGGACTATTTTAATAAAAGTACCATTACATTTGTCAGACTAGATTTTCTATAGTCAGCATAAAATGACAAACATTCTTTTGAAACCACTGTTTTAAGGATCCCTAGAAATGGTTGTTGAAAATAACTTAAGTATGATTTTTTAAACGGGAACTAATTACGATCACAAGGCATAATACGAATAAGGATAAAGGATGATAATTCATATTTCGTAAACAAACACCAGCCAATTACCCAGTAATGTTTGATGTTTACTAAAGAGAGAGGTGGAACTGTATAATAAAACAATTTATAGAGATCACGAACGTACTTCACCAACTTTATTTTGTTTTTAAAACCATCGTTTTTCTGTTCTGGTTTGTTCTATTGTCTTATGAAATTATTAATTTAGTTCACAACATTTCGCTGATAAGATGCTAAATCTACGGCTAAGGAATTCGTAACATTAACTTTTATATTGATTTCAATGTGCTTGACATGAACAAGAGGATCTATTCTTTCACATAGTAAGTAAAACTAAAAAGGCCTTCATCAGTATTCTAGTGTAGTATCAGCTTATATGTTAAGCCCATAATACTTTATTTTAGTTTCCGACCTAGCCAATTCACCCATACATTGAGTCATATTTTGATCTTGTTAATTATTCGCTTATTAACCTTGACTATACTTTTATATGAGCGTATATGTGTACCCTTCGTATCCTATTCTTCATACGTCTGTCATTCATTTTTGTCTGATTATAAATATTGAATAATGCTTGCTCATAGCGAGTTGGCTTCCCAGCCATCTCCACTATGCGTCATCTTTGCTTCGCTCGCTTACACTTGCTCATGTGCCCACAGCTTTCTGATCTGCATTATTTATCAATAAAAATGTAGTTGCCGCTTCCTTTTGCCTTCTGATTTTATACACCGTTAAGATTGGTTTAATAACGGTTATCGAAGTGAACTATTATTGAAGCACGGCACTACACATACTGGTTAGCCCGACATGCGAACACGTCGCAACACTAGTCCCTCACTTCTCTAGGTTAGCGATTTCATAAAAGAAATATGAGTCTTAACTGACTTTAATCACGTGCCATTTCTTATAATCACAATATTTTCTATATTACATGGAATGTATAAGCTAGATAGTTTTACTGAAGTTTCAATCAATATAAGAATAAGGAATAGATAAAATTGTCAAGTTTTGTATTTACATAACCCAAGTCATTTTATCAGTGACTTAAGTGTAATAAGTAATTTGCAAACATTACCGCTGTAAACACGACTTTAAAAACCCAACGGTTACATTTGGCTTAAAATAGTTTAAATATTATGCAAGATTCTATCCAGTATAAAACTGTTCTTCTAGATAAAAGTATGTTAAGAACGAAAATGTAAACTCGCTTACGTATGGTAAATCTGAACCCTTGGGTATGTACGCGGAGAATATGAAAGTGTATTGCCATTATTGGAAATCGTGCTATTTAAATTGTGGTGGGAAAATGCAAAACGCAAATAATAAAAATATCATAAAGGTACAATTTTATGGTTTCATTTCAGATTAAACAATCAAATAGTAACCCTATACCATTCTTGTAACAGCTGTGATATATTTAGTAACTATCACTTAATTTTATATTCTGTGCACTTCCTCAGATTAAAATAATGTTAGTACAGGTTTTCTTAAGACATTGTGAAAACTGTAAAAATGTAGTGCCATCTAACAAATATTTATTTCTATCCAGATATTTCAGTTGACGAAGTTTAAAACGATAAAGGGACTAGACATCCCCACCACATTTTCAAATGCACTCTTACGAGACTCCATAACAGATAGTAGGACATAATCACATATTGGAGGCTGCAGTGAAGGACAAAGAGAATATGAGAATACATTTGTACTACACTAAAAATCTGATTCGGTCTGTTAAGTGGTTAAACCATTAGAACTTAACCGAAGCAACAGACTTCAGTTAAATAGTCTAATTCACACTTCTTGAAAATTAGCTATATTTGGAATCCCATAGGCATGTTTACAAAATTTAGTCGACCTTTTCGGCAATAAAAATTTAACATCATTAACAGACACTAGGTTTTGTTTTGCTTTAGATATGACACTACCACTAGTAAACAATTTCTGATCTCTATAAATAAAAGGTTGTACACTTTATGTAAGGAGTTTTAAACCATAGGTTACAAGGCAATTATTTTGACATTTAAATACCCCCCCACATAGAGAGCTTAACATTTCCATAGATGAAAAGTTTAGCAACTGAAAAGTAGTCATACGAACCATCCCAACATCCATTCGGCTTAAAATAGTCTATTTAGGGCACCCCAATAGTTGGATACACAATTTATGAAGATAAATCATATTTTGAAAACCATGACTGATTCAAAGAATTTTAACAATTAAGGCTTGTCAACTGATCAAAGACTTCTTAAGATTGTCAACATTTCAAACCAAAATCTAAGGCTTAACAGTTAGTATTTCAAGAATCGCATAAAACGCACACTCACAATCAATTGTGCAGATACAAAATCCCTTAAACTCAAAACTCTATCAGTAATAAAACTGGTAAATAACTGTAACGCAGAGAATAGACTGTTTTTGAAAGACAAACTATCGAGTAGCTTTTCATACCTAACCTATTTGGTTAAAAAGTACAGTAATATTTTCACTGTTTAAATTGTGTCCGGAGGGAGCACATACAGATGGTTTACAAGAACATAATATTCTCAAATAAACAACTCACTCAGGATCTATCAGACGAGTGTTAGATATTGAACGACGAAGTGGATACGACGAATAGGTGCTTGGAGCGTACGCATCCCCAACAGATCTGTGATAATAGTCATGCAGTGCTACAGTTAGAGCAATCAATTACAAAAATTCTATTGTATTAATAAATATAAAACACAAACACAGAATCTCCTTACAGGAAGTATATGATAGACAAAGATCACACTATATGACGGGTAACCACACACTCTATCTTCAACGTTACATAACATTTAACTATAAAACTGATAATTTGGGAAATATCAAGCATCCATGAAAAACAGAATAGAGGATAAAACTACTAAAGGATTTTAATATGCTATTATGATAAAGATTGCCATAGCCTCACTTTATTTCAGTATAATACCAATAAATATAGGGAAACCGATGTCTGATGATTTAAGTCTCAGTCCGTCTGTCGGTCATAATATACATGAGGCCTGCCACAAATGTGAATTAACCCGAGTTAAAAGTAACAAGAATCGCAAAATAACCTAAAAAATGTAGTAGCAATGACATCTATGAAGACTTAGCATTAGGAATATAGTTTTCAAAGGATGAAATGAAGAGGTGAGAATGAAGGGATATTAGAAGTCATGATATAAAGTAAAATAAGGACTGAATATATCTTCACCACTTTGCCTTATTTCAAGCCATAATACCCGATACTTCCCCCTACCCACTGATCTCCGTTATTACACGAACTCCAACTAGGTAACCTGCACCTACCAATATGACTTAAGTCAAAGGTCGGTGTTTTGGTTTAACCACCCCTATTTTGAATAAACACGTAGTCTCCGTCCTCTAAAATGATAAGCTGTTCACCTTCCTCTTTATTATTTCACTAAAAATGGAAGATAGTTCTGGATGTATTTTGATTTATTCAAAGAAGTAAATTCAATTCCACTTCCGTTCGGGAACTACATATTTACTAGACACGATTACATTAATAACCTCTATAATTCACTGACACCAAATAACTGGTGTTCTACCAAAAGCAACAGTCATTTCTGACCCTACATAAATAGTTAAACCATTTCAATGAAAAATATTCGAAACTCGTATTATGTTAATCCACAGCTAGCCTCATTAATTATATTTATGTACCATTACTACACATCTGTTGATAAAATATTTCCTTTACATAAATGTCAAACCACACTTCTGAAATAAATTATTCTGGAGCTAAGAAAAAATTTGTTAACACATTCAGTAGATCTGCTTATCATAAGACTATACTGTTCTCCGTTTTCAAAGTGCAAATGCTTTCGAATAACGGGCATCTTTAAAGCCATTCAAACAAGCCAGAAGTGTTAGATAATTTAAGTAAGCAAGGTTTAAAAACTACAACTAATAACAGGCCTCCTTTAGGTTTGTGAAAGAAATGAAAACTGTTAATAGTTAAGCGACGTTAGGAATAGTCAAAATGAAAATATAGGCTACAGAAATTAGTCTAATAAATTAGTCCATTTCTTTACGACCATTAAACCCAAAATACTTACGCGCGATATGATGGATAAACGGGCTGATAAGAAACGGGCTGAGCATAACTATGACGCTGATAACTATTTGGCATAGGCCTTCAGAAAAAAAAATGAAATGTGGAACTTTTATCGCCAAATTATGAAGAGGAAACTGTTTTTTGAAAAAGTGATTTATAATTTAAGATATAATGCTTAAGCATTTGTGGAGTAAAGATTTTTACGTTTGACAATGAAATCTACGCCCTTCCGCGTTAGGGCTTATGAATACAATGTTTCAAAATTTTCAACACATATATTATACATTTAACTCACTAAGCCTCATAAATAATCTTCGAAATCTTACAAATTCTATTCAAAACACAAAGAATATTAATTCGGACATAAAAAAGAACATGTAGTTCATTGTAATATTTGATTCTGCTTTGAAAAAAGGGGTGTCCTTAAAGTGCAACAATTTATTGAGTAATATGCATTTGAAGCAACGACATTATCCGAAGGAGCATATAAAATGCTTATCGTTAACGAAAGGGAATAATTTCAATAAGTTGGTTAAATTAGTTGTAGAAAGTGTATACTAGAATGTGAAATGCATAGGTAGTTGACTGATCATCTCCATTCTGTTTGATCCACCAATTATTATTCATTGAAAGATGTTCCATGTTTGATTTCGAACTTTTTATCACTGTGGAATATTTCAGAAATTTGTCTGGATACTGGACGCCTTATGGACGATCATAAGAGTTATGCACAATTTACTTCACATAGTTTCTAGAATGAAATTGCTGCAGTAATGACCTTCATTTTGAACTAGTTCTTCTTTATCAAAATGAATTTTCATGCAGTTGCTTGTCTGACAATATGCTTAAATGGTTAGGAAAGTGCCATGTATCATAATATCTACACCAGTTTACATAGTTCTTCTTAAGACGGAACTGTTCTGCGTTAAAAGGATCAACCATATGCTCATTTTCAGTTCCCGACTGATTTTTATAACTTTTTAAAACGAACATTAGTTGTGAAACTGCTTTCCCTAATCCTCCCTCTTTCTTTCTAACACTAATGATAACAGCAAACTGATAGGACCTGGTCTAGAAGGTTTATTATAATTTAATTATGTTAACGGATAAATGTAACCCATTTAGAGCACAAAATCGAAAACAAGCAAGATAATCAGCGAGTTTTAGCAATAACAATAGTGTATTACTATTAGGACTTCTCGTTACGAAGAGCTTAAGTACTCACCCCGGATACAGTGTTTCTGTAGGCTGGTAAACTGAAGGCGGACGGACGTAGTAGGACTCACGAGGTCTGTTAGAATACGGAGAAAGAGAAACATATAACTTAAATTACAAAGAGATTTTTCGAAAGCGTTTTACCGTATGTGCTAACTGTAAATCAACTTACATCAGAAATACACAAAACATGTGACCTACAGAATAGACAAACGTATAAGATCTAATAAGTTGGACTTCAACAAAATTACCTTGCGTATCAATTTAAGAGATGGCTTTTGATCGTTTCAATAGTTATATTTCTTATCGCGTGCCAGTTTTTCCACTCCTTTACAACCGAGCGCCTTATTTGGGGTAAAACAATTTTGCAACCGGAAGCCCACCATTCACAAAATCCATAAACATCTGCAGTGTCAGACAAATTGTGTGTTTAAGAACTTCAAGTGAATAACAACCTTTCTTATAGGAATTCAAAAACAGAATCATAAATCTGCTTTTTAGCAAACACAAGGATTGATCAATTGAACCAAGTAAAATGTGACATAGGCATATCTATTCCACATCTTGAAAAGCACTCGAAAGAAACATTTTATATAAACTGAATACAAGTTCTGCGCCTTGATAACAACAAATATTTTAAACTAATTAGTAAGACTGAGCTAGATAAATACTTACTGATTAAGGTTTTATCAAAAAATTATTCGGGTGTTTTAATAAATAAGTAGTAATGCAAACGTAAATTAGCAATAGAGTTTTATGGCACAAATGATGTTAGAGTTATCAAAAACTTACCATTCTGGTTTCAATATCTGTGTCATCAACTCACATACCTTATGAATAAAACCTTAATATCTATATGAATGTAAATATCTCCTAACTTATTTCTAGGCTTCTAAAATATTTTACGTCAAGAACAATATAGATTTGTTCAATTCAAGTATGATACAACCTAACTATTCGCTACCTTCTAGTGTCAATGGTACATTGGGTAGACTCATGGACAACTTGTTTACAACATAGTTTCTGGTTAGGATTCAGTAACACTACATGCAAATAGAAAAAATCAATATAATTTTTACCAACAAAACATTAATCGTAGCATTTATTTTTTATAAATTTACAGAGTTCCGTTCTCAAATTCCACGAAACACTTTAGTTAATTTTCTCTAGTAGCTGCTGGACAGCTATCCCAACAGTTTCAATCAAGTGAAATGATAAGATATCTTTCAAAATAAAAGAATATGTTTTAGCAGAAGGAAACGTTTGCACTTCGAATCGTGTTTTCTGTGCAATTTTCCAGAGATAGATGTTTATAGTTAAAACAAGTTTTTAGAATTTTTTTCCGTATTTTAGTAAACACCATAAAAGTAGATTTATAGATTCTAGGCTGTACAGCCCCAATTAGATAGGTCGTTGTATAAAAATTCTTGAGCAACAAATGAATAGACACAAAACATTAATAAATCTATTCTATATGCTATCTCACAAATACAAAAATGTAGTTTGTTGACAGATACCGATACCTTAAGCAAAAAGTCAATAACACTCCTAAATGTCGATTATTTCAAATTGATGTGCTGAAATGATGTACTCACCTAGCATATGTTTCTACAGGCTGATATACAGAAGGCGGACGTGAGTAGTAGTCGTCATAATTTGGTTGATAGGGCCTTTAAAAGCGTTTAAAAAAATAAACGTAACACGATTACGAAACTATAAACCTATATTAAATAAAAAATGAAATCACCTAGACTTCTCCGGTGTTTAATGTTTAGAATAAAATACTTAGTATTTGACAACAAACAAACCGAAATAGAAATATACTATATCCAATAATCACGATATATGTGATGTGATTAAGTTTTCATGAATGTGGTTTGGAGTTTAGTTACAATAAAATGGATGAAACTGTTTTATCTCAAACTAAGTATAATGTATAGAGCAAAAACATTTTGCGGAATCTGAAACTAAATGACTAAAATGAAAACTTTATCAAACAGCGGCACTCAAGAAACCGTTGAATGGGAAAAATAAAATATATTTGCCATAAATATTTGTTACCCTGGCCTTCTAAATGGAAGTTAGGAGAATTTTTGACAATTGTTTACAATATTTTGCTATTTTTCCATTTGAAAACATTTAAGCTCATACGGAAAAAACGTACCTTGAGCGTCTTGATCCCCGATAATTATAGCGATAGTCGTCCTATGATAAGAAGACAAACGTAAAACTGAATAAACAGATTTACATACAAATTTTTACTTCTCTTAAGTTCAAATATAAGAATATCGTTGCGAAAAGAATCGAGATTTATTAAGTGCAAAATGCTATTACCTGCGAATTGTTTTGCGATGTCATTCATGATTGTCCATTTACGTAACTACATAAAAATCGGATGGATTATTTGTTTATTTATCATGACTACACAACAAAGTATATCGATGAAGGAATTCGGTCTAAAAACATAACTGTGGAAAGTTTTATAAATAACAGAAGTAGCTCGGTGTACATTCGAGTGGACGTTTAATAAATATCGCCCAGTTAAAATAATCGTCAAGTTCTATATCAAACGTTTGAAACTTCCACTATCATAACAATGGAATTATTACTGCAGTTATGATGCATAAATGAGATGACATAAAAAAACTATAACATGCCTAAAATAGCTTACAGTTTTACATAGTCCAATTACAAGTGCTATGCTAAGTGTTACGTGTCTAAAAACTTTCAATATCAGCCAGATTTTTGATATTTCTTGTTTGTTTGGCATTTTAATGAGGCTGAACAACATACTGGATAAATAACGTTGCTTTATGAATACTGAAAAAGACTTCATTGCATCTTAAAAGCTGTGACACTTATGATACATCTTCATGAAAAACTGTTACCTGTCAACCAATATAAATATGCAAATACATTATTTTCACCAAAGAGCATACGTGTATCTCATCATTTGTCTATAACTTTCTCAGGTCGTGAATAATGTTTTTAATATTGTGCAGAGCGAATAATTATCTAACTGATCTCATTTGATGATACCCAAAATGATAACTCTAGATAAAATTTCGATAATTTACAATTTTTGACTGTTACACGCTTTAAGATATTAAAGCAAAGTGGTAACCAAAAGAAACAGCATTTTAAATGAGTCATAATAAGTTCAGATGAAAGCACATTTTCTTGGATCCAACGATAACTGACAAAATAATTGCTAAATCTTAGATGTGAATATATCACTACAAAGAGCTGCACTATTTATATAGAGTGAAACTTTATCCTTTTAACAAACCTGTAATATGGCTTACACGAAGAGATAAAGTCTGGCTTTTTAAATTGAGCTTAAATTTGTGTATCAACATGAAACAGCGACTTTGAGGCTGAACCATATACATATTCTTATGGTCGGTAACAAATATATCACCAATTAATGAACTTTATTTGCCTCCATGTCTTGTTAGACAGTTCACAACACAGTGATTTATAGATTTATCATAATTTTTAAGTAGCTGATGTTTATTCTTAGGAGGCTTTAATGCATCTACGATAGACAGGGTAAATCTGAGAACTGAGGTGTTAGAAATCCGTTTGAACAGAAACTAGCTGATGTGGTTACCACATATGCCCTGGTAAATCATGTGAAAAAAGCAACCAGGTACGATCTGGAATCCAACTCATCTTACTAAATCTCACATTGACTCATTATGAGGATAAAGTCACAAAGCTCAATTATATGCCACCCTTAGGTAAGAGTGACCATACAACTCTAGTCTTTAATTTCCATGCCGTTATCAATAACGATGTGTTATCTTAAACCAGACTAAACGTTTGGAAAGCAAATATGCAAGGAATTATACACTTAGTATCTTCAGTAGATTGAACAGTATAAACATAATCACCCCCTGAAACAGCATGGGAAGTATTCAGAAATTTGTACACAAAAGCTACTGTTCCGCACAGCCCTAAAACGACAACAAGAAATCCGACAGTCTCTGCCGTATTTAAGTAGGGAAGTTCGCACCCTTCTCTGTAAGGGAAGAATGTGGGAGAGAGTACTGATGAAACAAAGTCTCAGTATTGGGATGCCAGAAATATTTGTGGGTCGATCTTCCGTAAATCTGGAGGATTGTGTCAAGGAAGGCTTACTAGAGAGTCTGTAAAATACTTCAAACGCTTATATTCATACATAAACCAAAAGACTAAAAAAAGTGACAGAATCCCAGCATTATGAAGTGCTACATCACTTGTAGCAGACGATTACGGCAAAGCTCACATATCCTCAAATTACTTCAGCAGTGTTGTACTGTAGAGGTGCCCTCTTCTTTGGTTCATAAACCCTACACACACACTTCGGACACTCTATTCATTAAGGAACCCGATGTTTTCGGTCTGCTAAATTAGCCTGATATAGGCGAATCCATGAGACTCGATGACTCATTAACTTAATGGTGACACATGAAAATTGGTGCAGTCTTAAAAATTGAAATTTACCCAAAGATGACGCCTGAGTTGACGCCACCAAAGCTTTTGACAAAGTTTTTTCACAGCCGACTGTTATGTAAGTTGAAAAATGCCAGGGTTGGAGGCGATTTCTTAATGTGGTTCAAAGACTCCCAACTTGGGCGTCAACAAGCTGTACGAGTGGACTCAAAGTTGTCTAGCTGAGAAACTGTGCTTAGCGGAATGCCTCGACGTGCAATTTCGAGACCAGTGTTCTTCCTCCTGCGTGCAAAAGACCTTTTTAGTCCTCTTTTATTATCGGTTTTGTTAAACGCTGACAATGTCAAGATATGGAGAGCGACGAAAAATGAAAGTGATAGCTCAGAGCCTTACATTGATTTGAACAACTTATCTGAATGGTCTAGACTTCAGAAGTTGCCAGTAAATGCTTCTGATTGCAATATGGTGTATGATGGTCACCAAAGTCCAGATACATACGCAGTGAATAACATTGATCTACCTTTTGTCCAGACAGTCAATGACCAAGAAGTTATCAATAGACAAAGCAATGCTTTGAGATGGCCACCAACGGTTTTAAAACCCTACTGTTTATACGTAGAGTCTTTGGCCATATCGATGCTAAAACTTTTTGACTTTATATACAGTGTTCGTTCACCTGAAACTTCAGTGTTGGATATGAGTAGCCACCCCCTTTAGGTTGTAACTTTAGTTGTGTGCCACTATTTCACTAATTGTGGTGCCGCATATGCTCTGTAATTGCTCGTACATAATAAGAAGTAAGTTATATAGGGGGTCTCACCGACAATAAGTTACAAAATCTTTGATTATAACGATAAAGTACTTTCGTGATGCATGTTTATGGCAACACTGAATAAAAAGTAGTCATATCCAAAAACAACCTCACCCTAATCCGATCATCCAAAGTTCTAGGATGTAAATAACCTGGAGTTGTATGACTTCTTCGACGACATGACATTTGTAACACCTGTCAGAAATGGTACCACGAATACCTGTAACGACGTCTTATATTTTAGCAATAACATCCGCATAATATTAAAACAAAATACAAAAGCAAAATGTTTTCGAACTCAAGATATGTTCTTCACAAACTATCGCACTGGCCATACATATATGTTATATTTCTTGCCAAATGTTCGTTACAATTTCTCAATATTCAGTCTGAAATGGTCGTGTTTCCTAACATAAGATGCATCTTACTCTACAATCAGTAAATCACATTACATGAAGAATCTGGTATTTACGTGGATGTAAATATATTACTCTCTGTGGTTTCATAACTCAATTATTGACAGAACTATGTTGATTGAATAGTCTCAAATAAATTCAAATAAAATCTCATCTGCTCTCAATCCAAAATGTCAGTTCATCTAGACCTAATAATATAATAAACATAGTTTTGTTATGTTGAGGCTAGTTTCCGTGAGCACTAAGAGTCAGGTCCACTAGTTCAACTCCTTGAAATTTCAAAGTCAATGGAACGCTGTGTAAACGGATGCATCATATCGATTCTGTTTAACATTGTTCCAAAACCGTACAACTCTAAATGCTTTATGTACACACGTTTGAGGGATAGTCATGAACAGTTTCTGCCTGTTTTAGATTACTGATGTATTGACGAATGTACTCCACATCATCGACGGTGGAGCGAGGTTGAGCTTTAACTAAATGGAAGCAGTGTTCACTCTGGACGCGAACAAAAGTAGACCTTGCAACAACTTAGTTTGATTGGTTAAGAGTTGACAACAAACATGTAAGTAAATGTCAGAACATTGAGGCTGAAGTATTCATTCACTTCCTTATTTTGTATAGGTATTATATTTCCTATTATTTTATGTTGGATGTTGAAAGGCTTTTTGTGTTTGTAGAGATAGCCTCATGTGTCCAAGACTTTTCTAGCAAAACTTCTAATCAAACGCTGATTGAATAAAATGCTTCTTAGTGTTTCCTGAGCTTGTCTTCTCGATTGCGAGAAATTTGCAGGATCATCCCAACAGTAAAAGTATTATATTTCCTATTATTTTATATTGCATGTGTAAGTACGGCTCGTTGGCAAACTCTAGGAAGCCTCAAGAAGATCAGAAAGAGACGAAGACAGTCCATCCAATCACCACTAGGGGAACATTCTAGAATGTCGACGTGTAGCATTCCTATTAGATGGATAAGAATGACCACCGATGTGCCTATGGACTGTCCGAAATGATGATTTACTTTCATCCAAAAACTAAAAATACATGAGATTTTGTACTATATTTTAACACACTTTTGAGGAATAAAATTCCTACATACTGGTCTTCTGTCTTCTCTCTTGCTACTTTGCGGGTTCAGTCGTACAAGTAGTCTAGTAGTACGCCGCATAGTAAGAATAAAAGCCCTATATATAACAGAATGTTGAAAATCTTTGTGTGTTTGTAGAGATAGCCTCGCGCTCCAGTGTTCTCACCAGGATTTAAAATAAAGACCTATCCACTACTGGTCTAGTTCATTCTATCAGTAGAACGAGGAGTATCCACCTGCACGAAATTGGTGCGCCCAAGTTTGAACAGAAGGTTGATTTCTGCTTTGACTTTTTTATTATCTTTTACTTGGTCGTTGTAGAGTCCAATCTAAGTTTTGGACTGAAGAATAAATTTCTAGGTAATTTGGGTACACGCTGTTTCCCAGTTGAAACCAAAACAAGGTGATTGAGTAAATGACGGTTCTAGATTTCATTATAAATATAAATGTACATTATTACCCAAACAAATATTACCGATCAGTTATTCAACCAACAATTGTCCCCCCCAATAATCGATCTCAATTACAATAAATAGACAAATTGATAAGGAATATAAAAAAATTACCCCTAGGCGCACCGAATAAATGCTATTCTATCCATTCTGGATCGATCGAGTCAAGATTCATTCAAAGGATAAATTTTGATTGCTTTATAACATAGAGTGTTTCCAATTCTGTAAGAGTGCTTCAAATCACAATCAAAAATGCACAATTCCAGTCAATGCAAACAACACAATCAAAAGAAGAGCAACCCAATATTGCTGTCACCAAGATCAAGTATCAACTAAAACAACAAAATTGTTGTTCAGGAAGAAACATGGAAACTCAGTGAAGGTAAATACAAACACTACCATCTCAAATGGAATCAAAAAGACTAACAAGATGTACAACTGAGGGAATCAATAGTAATAGATTACAAGTGCACACATGGAAGAATTTTTACGCACAAAACATTCAGAACGGATCTTGCAGTCGTAACGGTAGATCTTTTAATAATCTTCAGCACATATATTTTGTACGTATATTCATACATATTGTTTTCTGCCTCATAGTATCCAGGTGAGTCATTACCCCGTACTTATTATATTAATATATCCGTCATATACCACATATCAGACTCAGTGCAAACCCAAAACCTGAAGAATTTGTCATTATTAGAAATGGACACTATTATGACTGCGAAAGTCCAACTCCCACAACTTGATCATAGTGACCCCGAGCTGTGGTTTGCTCCACCAAAGCACTATTTCAAGAGACACATTATTTAATCTGATGGAATCCGCTATCGAGACTTGCACTTCGTCCTCCCTTCTTCAGACGCAAAAGAAGTTCGCAACCCAGTTTTAAGTCTACCAACAACTCAAACACATACCATCTTAAGACGAGAGATGATAAACCGTTTATCATTATCAGATAGTTAAAGGACCCAAGTGCTGTTTCAAAAGGAAATACTGGTTGACAGGTCACCATCGCAATTTTCACGTCATCAGGTCTTAGTGAGTGACAACACGGTAGGTGAAGCAGTCTTAAAACAAGAGTCGATAAAAGCTCTCCCTTGCTACGTCCAACACTGTCTGGGTGCAAAAGACACGGACACTTCTTTGTTTCAGCGAACATTGTAGATGGAATAATAGAAAGTGGTCCCCGAACTGTATGATCGGGAAATAAGTGTCATAATTCAAAATTATTTTTTGGTTTAATTCTTAACACGCGCAAAATAAAAATCTATATGAAGATTATTTGAGAGTTAAACAAAGTGGGATTAAAATAATTAATAATGGTTTCATGTAGAGATATCTTAACACTTACTATCAAGATGCGTAGTAATAGCTGTTCGTTAATAGCTTGACCTATAGCCATTACAAGTATTTTGTGTTTGAAAATATGAAAATAGTCAATATTGTAACAGTGCTGATGTTGTTATTGTTTTCAGTCCAAATTAGAAAGTCAGTTAACGTTCATATTTGTCTGCCGTCCGTATGAGTTAATTTCCAGTGACATCTGCATTAGTAGGCTAACTGAAAGAACAGAAGTATAACCGCGGAGAGGAAGAATTCCAACTAATATTTCAGTTAGTTTGTCAAGTTTGATACGGCTTGTTGAGTGGCAGGACGACATAACGAAATCACACACTCTATAAGCCGAATGTAAAATATTGTGTATAAGGTATTTGGTGCCTATCTGATATGATTTAACGTCTGACGGATCCGTTATCCCCGCACGGTTGCTTATCGCCTTCATTTTTCCTTGGGACCATATGCAATAGACGAATAACATCCAGCTGTATCTTGTAGTTTGATTCGGCTCTAGATATCGCGAGCTTATGTGGTGCTAGTCTCCTGAATCTAGCAAACTCATGTGCCCCTTCAGTTTTGACTGCATGTCTTACCTTCAAATTACTTTTGGAAGGCGGAGGGTTTGATTCGGTTAGGTTTGGAAATTCCGCGAGTATAACTAAATATGTCGAACTTCCATTGGTATCTTTTAGTTCCAGCATTTAAGTGCGTTGTGTACTCTTGAAAAAACAGTTGGATTATACCGTTAGTATATCACTATAACTACTGAACTATAAACGCTGTAAGTATTAGTGCCTCAGTGACAAATAAAACATTTTCAATCAATCATACATCCTCGATACAAACTCTAAGATCTTTTCCTAAGCACTTTTATATGTGTATACGTAAGAGTAAGAAAATCCCTTCCTCCTCCTTTCATACCCAGTTTTTCATATGACTCATTCATTTCCGTATATCATATTTAGTCTTTAACTCAGTAGTACATTAATGCTGACATTTATTTACAGCTGTGTTTCATCCATTGTAGTACTTTTGTTTTCGTATTCCCTGGTTGACAGCGATATCCCTTAACTTGATCTTCGATTATGGTGGGTCCTGTATTGGTTCGTTGCCCACTGACTTAACACTCTCTGATCTATTGATTTAAATTGTTCCTTTTTTGAATGAGGCACATCCAAATTTCTTGGAGGCCCTATTATTTTTCTCACATGTAATTAACCTTTTCATTTCTTAATGTTCTGTTTACTAGTTATCATACCGCTTTGACTACTGAAGAATGGGTAACAGTTTCCTAAAAGCTGATCAGAAAAGGCCACGGTAAATCTTTTTCAAGTCACTTATGATAATATTGATTTGTTCCACTTAAACGGTATATTTGACAGTCTTTTGTGACATAACCACATTCTTGTGAATCCTACCCACATCTCATTATTTGAACTCCTAGAATTATGGAGATAACTAGGTAGGGGTTTCTCTTCAGATATTTATGACCCATTTTTATCACCAAAATACATTAAAAGTCTTGGCTTAAGATTAGGTTACCAAATTGTGGTATAAAAAATGGCATACATTCCAATTAGTGATGGATCTCGGAATAATACTGGTTGGTTTAATGACAATAAATTCACTAATACGTGAAATGAATTTAGACTAGATATCCTTCGTTATGGATAGTTTAATATTTGGTCAGATCAGATTATCCGAGGTATCAGTTTGAAAAACGACTAAAAAGCCTTACGACCCACGACAATGGTGTATTTTCGACTCATAAGATTTCCACTGAGCTGTTTAACTATCTAAAAACAACTAGTTTTTCACATTAAGTTAGTGTAACTTGATCCAATAATAGTAAGTCTTTACGATACGCAGATAACTTCACACCTTTGTACTACATAGACGACGCTATTTGATTACTCAATGAAATTTAAGTTTAAATTAATCGCTATGGTACTTTTGTTTTGAAATCAATGAAAATTCATTGGTGTTTTCAAGTAAATAGATTACCAGAGAATTACTTCACTACTGCCTCTTATGACATTTATTCATCTCGTAAATGTTATCACGCATAACGTTTAAAGTATAATCCAAGTAACTTGCTGCAAGCCAATTAACTAACCTGGAAAAATGTATTCGTATTTTATAAACTCCCATGATAGGAAATGTACTACAATAAGATGATGCGTGATACAACAGAGAATGTGACTAAATAACCAACCTCAGATATAACTTCCAACTCAATTGTAAACAAACTAAACTCAGTCAATGATAATTTATTAAACAAACGATTCATATATTTAGTGTGACAATCATTTGACCAGAGTTAAAAGAAGGAACAATTATCGTTTTATTTATCATCTTTTCATTTTCTGTAACGTATATTTAAGAAATCACGTGTTACTGGGTGAAATAGTGAAAGTAACATCAATATTTTTTCTAAACATTTTAACTTTTGAGAAAAGTTGCCTTACATTTTAATTTTTGTTTGAAAAGACAATCAACTTTTGTATTCATCTATTTCGTTAAATAAGCAAATGATAAGAATAAACTTACATTGTTCAACTTATCATATCCAATTATTTGATTCCTAGTGTAATTTTTATAGTTAGTTGCAATCATTTTAGGAGTACATGGTTACGAAAAATGAATAAAATTTAAGGATAGTATACTGAAATTACACTAAGCAGATTATACTTGTAATTAAAAACTCCTGATATTTTACAAATGTCATTCATTCACAATATATTGTCTCTTGTCGGTGAAATTTCTAAGGAAACATACGATTTTTAATATATGATATGAATCATATATGTCACAGCATGTATACAATGAAGATAAATAAACGAAATAAAAATAAAAGAGTGAAATTCGAAGAGAAAGAATGTAATTCGAAACTGAATATATGTGTTATTTTTAATGTCCCAACTAATTGTTTACCGAACTCCGATAAGACAACTGATTAGAATCATTGAATGTAATTGTTGTTACTCAAATAATACGGGATAGATAAAATGGAAAGGAGTTCAGGTTTTTATTTATTAATGATTAGCTGCCATGGTACAACTAACTGTATTCCATCCCTCCTATTAATATTGTTTGGATTATCCCATATGTATAGGGCTTCCGCTGTTTGTCTTTCTTTGTAAGAATTGAATGCTTTTTGGAGGATTTTTGTGCCATCAAAATCAATTGTATGACACGATTATATCGAGTGTAATGATATTTCTGACTTGTTCTCAAGTTGTAACAAAATGGCCATATTGAGCAAATACGTTGCGGATGCACACGTCCCAGTAAAGACTGGTCAAATCTCACTTCTTCATATCAATAATGGGATAATTCAGGCCCTAACTAGTAATGATGAAACAATCCTTATCGTTATCTAGAAATTGTTGCCAGATATATGCAAATTAAAGCTCGTTATCAGTTAAAAATATTCATTTGACAGACCACAATCGAGAAATTTCAAAATTATTTCAAAGAAACATGGCATCATAAAATGTTTCATAAGTTGATTCTTATTGGTTGAAATGTATTCAGTTCACTTAGATAATCGTACACTAAATACTGCTTTATTTTAATGCCTAAAAATTAATTGTCATAATTTTTCAAAGATTTTAAAACGTTTAAAACCCAATATCATTCACTGAGTTCTCCATCTTCTTTTGAGAGAAATAAATGTTCATGATTCTCACATTGAACTGATATACCTGAAATCTAACAATGTTTTGAATAAACCTTTAAATGATGTAACATTAAATAAATTCTATTTGTTATTTCTAAAAAAAGCTCCATAAATTCCAAAGATTCGTGAGTAACATGATCATTTCTTACGGTTAATATGTATTTGTGAACAAGAATTTTCATGCATATAGTTCAAAGAGTCAAGAAATAGAAATCTAATAAAAGACACGAATCCAGACTCACTGATGATTGTTACAGCAAACGATACACTTGTGAAAAAACTGAACTCAGTTGTAATCATTATAGTGATAAAGTGACGTTGTTAACCCTAATGATTATACAATCAAATACTGGTTTCATTAATAAATGATCCATATCGGCACTTTAGTTAGAAACATTTGAATACTTACTCCTCACCTGACATACCGTCTGCTTTTATGTGACTAATTTAACATAAACGCTGGCTCATCTCTGATTTCAACAATAATTTTCTAGATATACACTACTGTAAGGTGTCAAGGGCAGCACTGTAAATACTCATATCACAATAGATAAGTAAATAAACGCTTTTTTCCCAAGTTCATTTTATCACTATGGTTCAAATCTGCAAGAACACCAAATGTGTCTTTCTTCTATTACAAGAATAATTATATATAACTTCATTCATCAACAGAGCAAATTATAATTGACCAGGAACTCATCAATGAGATGTTTATTAATTGTTTATTAAAAGAAAAAATGATGAATGCATTTCAGCAACTCCTAAAATAAAAAGTTTAAATTCGATATTGTCCGCACCTTTCGCTGGAAACTGTTTCCCTAAATCACGCCAAAATAAACAATTCACGAAAAAATTTTTATATAAGTGTTTATCAATGGACACTACGGTCTTATGGAATTGGTGATTTTAAACCATCCAACAAGAATAAATCTTGTTAAATTAAAAAAAAATAGTCCAGTGACTATTACTTAATATTAATTCAAGTTCCGTTAAAATGAAAATGCAGTTACATGGGATTGAATAACCAACAGCAGCCATGTGATTTAACTTCTACCTACTTTCTTATTTGCAGTTACATGTCTAACATATATAAACAATTTTTTAAAGTATCACTTTCAATGAAGCATTGATTACTAGTACGATGACGTTTTATTTTCGCCGAACACTTCCAACATAATATTTTTACACAATGAGAGATATAAAACATGTAGAAATAACAATTTATATTTCACAAAAAACAAAGCTAAGTTACATGAAATAAATCACATGCCAACAAAACATGTCACGTTCATTTTATTCCGTACGTTTATCCATTTATATGTCTCGATGAGAGTGAAATACCTTACTTTGTAGAAAAATTAGAAAGAAGAGCACGTGATTTTATCCACCTGTCGGTAACAATAGACAAAAACCACATTTCATACCTCAGCTAAAATAAAGTTTAGAAAAGACGTCAATCAGTTTTTTAATCACCATGTGAAACAGAACTTAAAGATACATTTTGCTGTCAAGTGTCTTGTACAGTTATATGTTGGTGGTATTACTTTTTTCAGTTCAACTCATTCGGAGCTGAAGGGGTGCATTTCTTACAAGTGCTGCACCAGAATCTCACGGCTGATCAGTGGTTGGGTTTTGTATGTGATCATCCAGCCAACATCAGCTTATGAACATGGCTTTCTAGTTAGAAAGTTTCAAGTAAAAGGGATATATAATGCTTGATAAAATTCTTCAGACTTCAATGCACCACTATCACTTTCATAAAATTAGTGATATATTAGGTTTTTAAAGTCCAAAATCCATCTACTATAAATTTTGTTATGAATTTCACATAAAACTAAGCACTAGAAAAAATGACATCACCTTTAAAGTAGTTCACTTAATTTCAATGGCTGGTATTGTATACCAAACTACTACCGAAACGTATAAACTACGCGAAGATTATGGACTAACGTCGCCTAATATCGAATAAAATTAACCTGTACTCAAACATTATGGTACAGTTAGTTAACATCTCATCAGCAAGCAACATTTCCATCCGCATTCATTAGTATTACCCCCTATTTGAATAAAACTTGACTTCAAGAAGTAATGCTGCTAGAAAATAAAAAAAAATGTCCAAAAATTATGAGAAAAAGATGTAATCTCTTTAGAGTCTTTCCAATAGATATGACTCCAAAGGGAAATCATCTTTCTATTGCTTAAAAATCCAAACACTGTTGAACCACTTATCGTTAGACAGTGTGAAACCAAGAGATAAAATATAGAGGTTCGTAGGACAATTTATTTCACAGGAACTGGGAAAGACAAACAAACAGAGGGAATCGTACAGTGTTCGAACAGAGAAAGAAGTATTTCTCCATTCAAGTCTTAGATAAATTAGGTGTAAATTCTTCTAGAGCTTATTAAAATGTTTAGGCGTATAGAAAGTAAGTTAACTACAAGCAATGGGTTTTTGTTGTCTGTAAGAACTATAAATTTTTTTTAGTGGAATTATGGTAGAGGCTACCGACTAACAGGTTACAATATCAATACATATTTATCAGGAAATACACTGAAGTTCATTGATTTAAAACATTCTTATCAAAACTTACCAAAATTAATAAACACTCAAAAGAAAAGATGTAGTTCTGTCGAAAGATAAACATTTTCTAATAATAATATCTGCTATAACGAGTATCGCTGGAATGAAAAGAAATGGTTGATAATTAATCACCCAAAAATTTGAATAAACACTACCAGTGATATTTTTCAAATATATCTGTAGCTTATTAACAACTTTATCTTATATATATATATATATATATATATATATATATATATATATATATATATATATATATTCCAATAGTTTAACTACCATGCGTAAATTCTTCATGAATGTAGTTGACTGCACACACAAAGCATACATAGATCCTACAACTTATTTGAACAATTAGGTACAGTTTAAGTTAGTCTTTTAAAAAGAATATCGGTTGGTTTTTTGTACAAGTGTTTATCATATTAGAAAAGATTCTTACTTTGGTTTAATGTGAAGGACTAATAATTTTCTTATCATTTGGTTATGTATCATAAAATCAAATGAGATTTGTATCATAAAAAATCAACAGATAATAAATCAAATGAACAAAGTATTCAATGATTTAATTCTCATGAATAGATAAGAATCAGTATTTACTCACTCATATATATCTACTCGTTGAAGTTGAGAAGCTGGATGTGAATATGAATAGCCATAAAGCGAATTCATCCTGTGGTTAAATTAAAGGGAAAAATAAAATAATTAACGGTATCTGTAATGTCATTCAACAAAAACATAAGTCTTAAAATAATGTGAAATGAATGTATCATACAGACTAACTTAGAAATTTGGCATCTAATCGCCACAATATATCAAACAGGTGAGTTGTATTAATAGGTTTCTTTTATTAGATCCAGTTATGGCCGCTTATTTCCTATTCCGAATCAGTTCGCTTTGAAAATCACAGATTTACAAAGGAACTCAAATAATAAAATTTATACATCGATAGTTATTTTATTAATGATAAAATGGTTCGAGAGTATACTCTGAGTAGAAATCCTGAATTACTTGAGTGTTGCTCCACGTTTTTTAATGGTTATCGAATTAATACTTAGTTGTAATAGAAAAACCCAAGAGTTCTGAAATAACAAAAACCCGAACTCCTGTAACACAAAGAATCAAGTCCAATTTTGCCGCATTTATTATAACGTTAATCAAAATTACTATTAACTATATTTCTTTGTTTCTCATAAGTTCAAACGACAACTTTCACATATTTATTAAACAGTTATTTTGGTACTTATAAAAAATTTTCTCCTAGTGAATTAGTCATATAAAGAAAAATAACTGTCTAAGCACTTATAGATCAACAGTAGCCAAATTAGTGCTCAAATATATTTTCATGGACAAGATTCAATGTTTCCTCTGACAAAATCATTAATTTAGCCATCACTTATTCGTGAACTTTTGTAATAAAAAGCTTGATAATTGTTCATTTATGAAAACAGATGTTTTGTTTTACATATCGAAATAATTTAGTTCATTTGTTAGTTTAGTTAACATATCATATCAGACCTACATAACTAACTAGATTTGCACATCCAACTAGCAACGTAAAAATGTTGAAGACAGATATTCTCTGGTGTTTTTCAAGCATAAGTCAGTGAATATAGTAAACAAAATGAATATAAATTGAGTACTTGATAAGACTGTGTTACCATCAGTAGTGTTGTACCAACAAAATAATGTTTTCCTTTTAAAAAATAAATTGAGTCGTTCCTAAAGAAAATGATGTGTTACATTCTGTACATACATTTCATTTTAGCTGAAATGACCTTTTTTACATTCAAACACTAACATGTTTGTGAAGAAGATAATACAAAAATTGTTAAAGGTTTGATAAATCCGAAAAAATAAGTGGGCGAGCAACATTTATAAGTCAACCAGCCTTTAACTTGATTTGGGCAATGAAGTTGTCAGGCAAAGTTATTATTTGAAGAACAACAGCTAGCAACCCTATTTTCATTAGCGCAATGGTTGAATGACTTACCCATAATCTGAGAGACTACCATATGATCGAAAACGACGTAGAGGAGACACATAGTTATAACTTGGTGAATATGTACTTTGATAATAACTAAAATAATAAATGAATACAAGGCATACTTAATAATCTTTAGGACACTAAAGCACAAATATCTAATTTTAAAACGCCACTGTATATCATAAAAAAGCAGGTAAATTATGTATTACTTCTTAAATGAGAATCAAATCTCTAATTGCATTCACAACTTGAAAATTTTATGGTCGATTTTGACAGTTGTCAATATCCTAGTATATAGTCATATATTTTCTTAAAATGGGGTGGAAAATGAATAATTTCGTGTAAAACAAAACCTTTTGTTGGTAAAATGGTAATGGTTGTTTATCAAAATACGAAACCGGATGAAATATTTTGATCCTTACGTAGTTCAAATTTATTGAAAGCTGAATAATAACCAACTTATATGCTAAGTTTATTCCAGTTATTATTCAATCAAAAAGACCAACGCTTCACTTTTCGCTACAGCTATTCCCATTGATAGTTAAAAAATGAGAATAGCTCATGTGGTGAGGTAATCAACACTACTATACAAGGAGAATAAACACAAATGACATGGATATCTTTTTCAAGTGAATATACATTTCTTAAGTATTACAAAATTAAAAGTGACGGAGTTAAGTGTAAAAGTATTAACTAGACAGTCTACAACTTCCAGTACAACCAGCTTGATATTAAGAAAGTCAGTGCAAAGAAAATTAGCGACAATCTTATATTCTGATAATGATATCACTTAACAGTATTATAATCCATCAATACTCAAACTATCCATAATTTAAACTTTTGAATCAGTGAATAGGTATGCATTTCTGGGATGAAATCAAATTTGTGTATTTGGACTGGCTTTTTGAGCACCTAAGAAACGATAATTTGGATGCAGTTAGACGATTTGGACTTCACATATGACCCGTTCCATTTATCTCAAACACACCAACAAGTGCAGATGAAGACAATCAATGTAGCAGCAGCCTCTGCATCAGTAAGCCTCAACATACACGAGGGAAAACGCAACATCCTTAAATACAACAAGAAGAAAGCCAACTCAATCGGACTTGATAAAGAAACTCTGGAAGAGATGGAAATTTACATGTACCTGGTCAGCAGCATCATCGATAAACAAGGAGGATCCAATGCAGACATAAAGGAAAGGATCGGCAAAACAAGGACCGCATTCATACAATTAAACGGCATATGGAACTCAAAACAACTGTCAATCAACATCGAAGTCACAATCTTCAATACGAATGTCAAGACAGTTTCGTTGTACGGAGCTGAAACTTCGAAAACTACCACAACTGTCATCAAGCGTTTATAAACAATTGTTTACGCAAGATACTCAATATCTGTTGGTCGGATACCATCAGCATCAACCTACTGTAGGGGAGGACAAACCAACTTCCATCCGAAGAGGAAATTAGGAAAAGACGTTGGAACTGGATAGGACATACACTGCAAAAGTCATCAGACTGCATCACGAAGCAAGCGCTAACTAGCAATCCTGCAGGGAAACAGAAAAGAGAAAAACCAAAAAACACTGTGTCGAGAATTAGAAGTAAACTGCAAAAAGAAGAATAACAATTCGAAAGAATTGGCCAAGACAGAGTTCGGTGATGAACTGGTGAGCAGCCTATGCTCCTCCACGAGAAGTGACAAGAGTAGGTAAATAAGTAGTATCACACATCAAATGTCATAAAATACTTGCTCCAGATTTAAAAGTTAATAATGGACAAGACAAAAAGTACTTGTTCCCGAATGAGGCTTTGAATGACGATTATTAATACGACTAATTTTAGTTTACGAATTCGTATCAAGTTTTTCCTTACGCGGAGGAAATTTTGGGAAAAGGTAATAATAATATAACATACCTAGGGGTACTTGTGTAGTCTCTGTAAATATAAATCCGTTTACCATAGCGCAAATCACCCTACAAATAAAAATAATGGTGGTATAAGTAAGAAACAACCAAATTCAAATTTACATTATTTACTGTATAACTAAACATTTCAGTTCGAGTAGTATGAATAGTTGTCTATTTAATTAATGAGTTTCCAAGTATACCAAACTTAAAGGATCTATATAAGCAAGATCATCTGAAACTCAAAATATTTTCTCTCAATATATATTTTGATCGTACTCCCACATTTATTGTACTGAACGTGTCCGCGGTTTGAAGTCTATTACATTTCTAGTTCCATTAAGCATCCATCTTATTTTCGGATAAACTAAAATCATTTTTAGTAACGAATACTAATAGTCCAGCTTAGGCTAACATGATCTAAAGAAGAAATTCTGTGCTTATATATATATATATATATGGTGAAATATATTATAAGGCAGAGTTGCATCCAAGCTATCTTTACAGATAAGTTAATGCACAAAGATAATGAGAGTAGAATAGACTTATAGGACTAATAAAAAATCTAGAAAGCGGATATGCAGAAATCTTGGCTACCCTTAATTTTTCGAACTTATCTAGTTACTGATAATAATCAATAGTTATGTAAAAATCTAAACATCAATTTGAGGCTAGCCTATGAAACGCAAACGTTGTTCCGTTCTTGAACAATACCTCTATTTGAATAGAAAAATGATAAATGAAAAGTAATGATCTCCATATTTTTGCAACCCTTCACGATATAAGCCGGATTTTTGCATCCTATGATAACCCTGCCTACGTTTTACCAGATAATGTGATTTACTTACTTGATTACTTGAGCCTGTTACTCCGAATGGAACATAGGCCACAGACCAGCATTATCCAACCCACTCTGTCATGAGACTTCCTTTCTAGTTCTGTCCAACGTTTCTTCATTCTTCTCGTGTCTGTCTCCATTTCTCGGCGTAATGTGTTCTTCGGTCTTTCTCTTCTCCTTTGGCTTGGAGGATTCTGAGCAGAGGCTTGCCTTGTGACGCAGTAGGGTGATTTCCCCAATATGTGTCCTATCCACTTTCAGCACTTCTTCCTCCACTGCAACCTGGCTTGTTCTCACCCACAGTAGGTTGTTGCTGATAGTATCTGGCCAACAGATCCGAAGTATTTTGCGCTGACAACTGTTGATAAACACCTGTATCCTCTGGATGGTGGCTTTCGTAGCTCTCCAGGTTTCTGCCCCATAGAGCAGAAATGTCTTGGTATTTGTATTGGAAATTCTGACTTCGGTGTTGGTTCACAATTATTTTGATTTCCAGGTGTTCTTCAGTTGTAAATATGCTGCTCTTGCTTTGCCGATCCTCTCCCTCACATCTACATCTGATCCACCGTGTTCATCAATGATGCTGCCCAGATATGTAAAGGTTTCCACATTCTCCAAAGCTTCTCCGTCAAGTGTAAATCAATAGGTGCATGTTGTATTGTATCGGAGAGTCTTGCTTTTCCCTTTGTTCATATTGAGACCCGCTGCTGCTGGGGCTGCTGCTACACTGATCTTTTTCTCCTGCATTTGTTGTTTCGTATGTGATATAAGAGCTAGGTCATCTGTGAAGTCTAAATTGTTCAGCTGCATCCTAGCTGTACACTGTACCCCGTGCTTCCCTCCAGATATTGACGTCTTCATGATCCAGTCGATGACCAGAAGAAAGAGAAAGGGTGAGAGTAAGCAATCTCGTCTAACACCGGTCTTTACCTCAAACGAGTCATTGAGCTGCCCCCCATGAACGACTTTGCAGTTTAATCCATCATAGAAATTCCGTATGATATTGACTATCCTCTCAGGCACGCCGTAGTGTCGAAGAAGCCTCCATAGTATTGTCCTGTCCACGCTATCAAATGCTTTCTCGTAGTCAATGAAGTTGATGTAGAATGATGAATTCTATTCAATTGATTGTTCCACAATGATTCGTAGAGTTGCGATTTGGTCGGTACATGATCGATCCTTGCGGAATCCAGCCTGTTGGTCTCGATGTTGGGCGTCTACGGAGTCCTTTATTCTGTTTAACAACACCCTAGTGAAGAATATGTGATGTTATCTGATTTTCGCAAGGTAGATAGTAAACTTTTCTAGCGATTAATACCACTACATACAGTAATTTCTGCTTCCAGCAATTAAATTAGGTAGTATTGCAAACGAGACTAATGTCTATGCTATATAAACCATATTTATATTGGACTAAAAAAATTAACCAATTAAGGTAAATTATAGGCAGATCTTATCATTTCATTGTTTCTAATTAAGTTAATTAATTTGTCCGACTTTTGGATACTTAGTATCATGGAACTTTACTTATTGAAGTCAAAGACGCTGTGCTCAAATTTTCAGTTGGATATGATATCACCTAACACCAACTATACTTATTTCAATCTAGTTGTTAAATTCCATCTAAAACAAGTCTGCTCAACGCCTAGTGATACTTTGGTCACTAATGCCTACGAAGTCCAATAGGCTTAATATTCTTAAGCTAAGATAAGCATGAACGAGTCGTTAAGCTTGGCATCATCACCTATTTTAATGACCACCTCCGTCACCTCCGTTATAAGTGGCACGTAATAAGTAATCTATAACATATAATCATGACATATCTCTGTTGTAACAAAAAAGATACAGATGAAAAATAACCTTTGAACTCATGTTTATGATTTTCCCAGTATTCAATCTGAAATACCATTGTTTTAAAAACTTTGTCTCATGTGTATTTATTATGGCACGCCTATAGATGAGAGCACCAGCTGGACAACGATCTATAACTGCTTTGGATAGTTCAGTTTATTTTAAAGACTGTGAACTCTATAATATTTAAACCCTTCAGTAATTTTTCAATTAATTGCTACACAACTCGTTGTGTACACACTTCTATACTGTTAATTTACAATGAAGCTCCAAAAGATTTTCACTTACAAACGGATATGTGAAAAACATTAGTCAAACAGTAATAATTGATTTATCCAACAAGTTCAAAAAAGAAATCGTATTCCACGAATTCGAAATTTCACTGGTGCTTAAAGGCTCATGAACTGAGTTAATCTTGGGCAACATTTCTACCATAAAATGTTAGTGACAAACGACTGTCTACCTTTTTCAATAAGACTCAACCTATTTTACTCAAGTTATGATACATCACATAGATAACTACTCAGTGCTTGTCAATCAGTCTACTAATTTTGATTCTATGTTAAAAGCTCAGCACTTGCTGAAAAATTAGCAACATACTTCTCACACGTCTGATAAAAGAGATGTAAGGACTTTTCAAACAGAGACTTAAGGTATGATAATATATAAATCAATCAGTTCACTAAATAGTATGTCATCATGAATGATCATTGTTGGCTTTACAACAGTGGGTAAATTAGGACGTGTTAAAAATATGTATGAGTTACAATACCCAGTATTCTGTAGGGTAATTTTTTATTCTCGGTGTGCAGCACACCATGCGATAAACGCCGTGCAACTTGCGTCACTTGTGGCGTAGGCGAGATGTCCGTCTGTCAGAAAGAGGGAGAGCATGGTGCTCACTAGTTAACTCTTTACTACTTTATAGCCGTGAAATCTGGTCTAAGAAAGTGGAAGACATTTGCAGGCTGCAACTTCTTAGACAAAATTGTCTGCAAAATATTGCGCGTACAAGGTTGAACGATTGAGTGGATGAAATTGATGTTAGAAATAAAGAGTTAGGTGAATGTCGAGTTGGTTAATAATGCAGTAGATCTTGATAGATTGGTGTAATTGAGATGTGTTTTATGTACACATGAACGACTTTCACATCAACGGGCAATATCTTTTGGCACAAAAGTTGGTTGAAGATAATCCAAAACTGGCTAAACTAAAACGTGGTTTCAGTCCATGCAGTCACTGAATGTCAGTCCGTGCCATAGTGGCATATACATACTATTCATTGGTTGGAAATGTTAGGTAATAGAGAGCAGAGGGTCTCAGTACATACACTGCTTCAAACCTTCATTTCAAGTATTCCCTGTTACATACCTTCCTACCCTTTCCTGTCGAATTATATTCTCAAATATTTAGAATTACCCGTTGTCATTGATACTAAGTTGTTCCGATTGATCTACCATTCATTCCAGTAAGTTTGGCTCACCTTGGCAATACAATGTGAAAGTCTGGCAAAATGTATGCGCTGTGGCTAACTGACTTAGCTCTTTCCAAACAGTTTTCTCCATCTGAAGACAAAGTTCGACCAGAAACAGTGATCAGGAAACCCTACTCTGAAAGTAAAAACGTTCTTTGAGGCGAAGTTACCTTAATATCTACATATTTAATACCTTTACCCTAATTTTTTGGAAAACATTTCTAATCATAAAAGTTACGACTACTAAGATTATCAACATTTTTACCTCTAATAAAAAAAGAATTTAATAACTCTACCTTAAAGTCAAATATCGTAAGCACATAAAGTTGTTAAGTGCAAAAACTAGTCCTATGAAAGAAAACTTTAGTCATAAATTTCATCTAATTTACACGATAAACTTACACTTATTTGTCGTGAATCCCTATACGAATAGCGGTAGTCTGAATTCATCCAGGGTTTAAAAACACCACTGTCGTCGTAATAACCGACCAAGTCGTTATCGTAGTAAGATGTCATCAAAAAAATTACGTTAACTCTGCGCGAATACTTATGAGAGCTATATATATATCCCGGTGAAATACCCATTAACGTTTAAAACAAATCACCCATATAAATGACCATCAATATCCTCTGCTTCGTCACTGTTTTAAAATTTTCGAAGACGACATCACAAATATAAACGTCTAATAAACAAAGCGACAGGACGTGTATACCGTAAACCGTCCTCGGATCAATTATACATGGCTCAACTTTCATTCCCAGTATCAAGTGTTTTCATTCTCAGATAACTGCAACAAGAACTAAACAAACTATTTGCATATTCCATTTGCGAGTTCCAGGATGAATAACATCCAAAAAGCAACTGTAATAAAATGATATTTCGAAGCTATTTTTTGATTCAGCAATGATGTAGTGACTAGAACGCCCACTTTATATCATTCTCATTTTTGGGCAGACGAATCACTTTAATCGAAACGGCTACTCCGTATGTTTGACTTTTGTTATTATTTGCCTGTAACTTTGAGTAATTTGTACATTTGTGCATGATAGTACGCATGTATTTATCTACTAGTATGTTCTTTTACACAGTCTATAAAAACTGAATTACTTCGATATTCATTGAGATGGTGAATTACAAAACATTAATACGCTACATATTTGCTGCATCTCTCGTTCCTTTTGTTGTTTAATATTTGCATGAACGAAAATACCTGTCTTAACTACAATTTGTATTTGACCCTTAATGTCCACGTTGTATTGACGTGGCTAGTCAACAGAACATATATAAAGTGACATGCTGATCCATGTTTCAGACTTCTTCCTTTGACTCCAACTGAAGCCATTAGAAGGCTAAGAAAGAGACATACTTCATTTATAAAACACTGCTATTAAAACGCTTTCATCTATTTATACTTCGTGTTCCACAACATGAATCTCAGTTACAATATTTTCGATCTCAGAGAGGTAATCCATCTGATACTTGTAGGCCAACTATTTGGAGGTAAATTTCTCGCTTAGAAGGCTCTCGTAAATTTACAGAACGACATAGCAAATGATTTTAGCTACTTACTGAAATTAAAATCAACAATGCTTGCACTAAAGTGGAATCACCAATTACGTTTTTGTTTCAGTTGGTTATTCACTGTGTATGATCAGTGTCGAATGATTGGTGGCCAACTCGGGTTAAACAGGGATGATGTGACCCGTCAGCTAACGTCGAAGTCACATCTTACAAATAGTAGTAAACGTAGACAATCCCCTCGTTGTATCCAGGTTCTATGGCTGCTTTAATGACTGTACAACACAAACTAAATTATTACAGAAATATATTTTTATGAGTCAGTATAAGAAACAGAGTGCAACCACTGCTGCATGGCCAGTCCATAGTGTGCAACAAACTGATGCGCGTCGGTTTTCCTTGACCTTGACCAGGATCGGTAAGCTATGTGACCCAACTGCCAGATGATTTGGCTGTGGCCCAGTTACATCTCACTGTCCCCACAACTGTTGTACGATCGATGAGTGACAGATAGCTTTAGTAGTAAACTGTAGAGTGTATGTTCTATTGAATCTATGAAGCTGATTGAACTTCTTGGAATGGCAGAAAACTTTGAAGATTTTTACTTTTATGTAATAGAAACTCTGTTCATCATTCAGTAAACTATACTACAATCCTACCCTACTCATTTTTTCACTAAGACGTGTTCTGATACCAAACTTCAGTAACTGTTCCAGCATTCTCTTACTAACATCAATGTGTAAGTCTTCAGTCCACAAAATGCAGCAATCAACTAGTTTTCAGGCTTCTTCAGTGAAAATGGATTTTAAAATTCCACCCTTTAAATTTCTGAAGTTAGTATACTCAGGGGGAGATATGTTTTACTTACTATAGAAGTCTTGTCAACGTTTGAATGGCTAATATTCTGGTAGGTTTACTTAAAGGTGATTTGTGGTAACCAATGCAGTACTTGATATAATAACAAAAGTCAGTGGTTCCAAGGGTGTTTATAAAGTGGTTTTCTGAGAACCATAATACCTCTTCAACATTTTTAGATGCATCAATATTTGTTTCATCCCATTCCCATAGCTTCAGCTCTCAATTCTCAAACGTTCAGAATCAATATTTATCTATACACTAGGTTCAAGAGTTTTTAAACTAAGAATTACAAACTAGAAGAGTCGACCCATGATAAGTAAAAATATCAGTATTGTATGAAATTAAAGACGTCATACATGATCAGTGCTTGATAACGCTTTTGCCTGTAACACCTTCATAATCGAGGTTTCCAAAGACATTTAAACCAGATGTCATGAATGAAGTGATTTGAAAATATAACTAAAATACTGTCTATGCGTCCAAAGAATGTGATTTAAGTTAACTATTAGACATAAGGGTTGTGTAACATGGCGTACACAAACATGATCTGATGTGGACACTTGTCCGAGAACCTTAAGCGAGAATGCGTCCAGTAAAAATAATGAGGTCAGAACTAGTGTAAAAGACTAACAATAATTATTTTGAAGGTTAATTTACCGCCACATAATATACGAACAGGTCCCATGTTTCCATAAAGCGTACTACAGTAGTTACGAATGGACCATCACATGATGACAGTAAAAATAACGTACACATGCCAATGTACTGTGCTGTAATTGCAACTAAGAGTATGAATAAGATTCAAATCAATGAACATCTTGTGTAAGCATCACATGGCCTTTTTAGGTCTTTCACAGGACTCGAAAAGTCAAGACCTACACATAATTCATAAATCTTTATTTTTACAATTATTATACCCCTACAATATTTTCACGTATATTTCTTAAGACCTGATTTCTTAACAGTAAATGAATAAAGTATCCTCCATCAAAACTTGATAACCATAAAATGAAGTTCTATAAATGATATCAACCTAAAGTTCCCTTTTTCAAACTTTGATACAACAACAATGAATTGTGAGATACTTTACTGAACTTTTGCAACAGATGAAATACGAAGTAACTTGTTAGAATACTAGACTCAAAATATTCATTGTTCTCATTTCCCTCCTCACAAATAACATTTATGTTAAGAAATATAGCACAGACAAATCTTGTTGAAGTACTTTGTGCTGAGAATTCTATATTGTACCAAAAATATAATATTGAATAATAATAATAATAATAATAATAATAATAATAATAAATCGTATGTGTTTTTATAATCAGTCTTACTATTGAATTAAAGTACTCCAACGAGATGCGAAATTCCCAAAGTAATCATAAACTTTTCTTGAAAGCTTCTTACAGTAAGCACCTACATTTAGTCGCTGATTTTGAAGTTCATTTGCTGACTGTTTACAGAAGCAAATTAGTTATTGTAGGAAATGTTCATAATTCTTTTTTTTTAACAATTAAGTGACATATAATTTCCCTGATTAGCTATCTCTACTAGTCTTTCGACTGTTAGTATTGCATACTGAAAATGTATTCGGTTATTACGGTGTTCAAAATTTAACATCTCTTTCTTTAATTTTTAATTAGATTGATACCATATGAAACTGAAGTAAATAGTGAAATTACAACAGTGGATTTATTTGGAAACAGCTGGTTAAAATAAGATAGTTTGTTTTTAATTCAAAACAAATGTAAATATGTAACAGTTTTTTACGTTGCACATCAACATATTCTGATCAATAAACTTTTATACCTTAAGTAAATCATGGAACAGCATATGGTTTATAAGCATACAATGAATCAAATGCGTTCTTTTCAAAGAAAAATCAAACGTCTGAAAATTATTGACAAAATTAACTGAATTTATTTACATAATGATTCATTAAAGTTATTGGGATTCCTTTACTATTTCTTACGATCCTCATTTAGACATTAATGTTCATTTAACGATCTTTTCTGTTTTTTTTATTTCGTACTAGATTACCTATTATAACATGATGCATAAAGCTTTGAATTATTTGACTCAAACCTTGTCTTTACAGAAACGGGACAATAGACAGTTTCAATACAATTAAATGTTGACTGATTTTACTATCTTAACTAAGTAGTCGACTATACCCATTTAGTAACCCAGTATTACCATTAGTTGTCCTTGATTGACCGTTTTCAGTATTTTGTCAGTACTTACAAAAGCCAGATACTATATGTACGACGCTTTTTGCTATGGCGTTCTGATAGCTCATTAATTTTCTCGGAGACAGAAGATTATACATTCCAAGAGCTTCCTTATTATTTCACTCACCCATCAAATATTACGAACAGTAAATCGCGGGGTCGGATAACTTAACTTAATTACCACATTGTCAGCTTGATCGATAGAATTTGTGTAACACTAAATATTAGACAATATATTATATTTTATACTAAACTGAGTCAATATTGTATATTATGTTTCAAAAACAAACCTAGTAGCCAATGGCAAATTCGCGTGATTAACTACTTCTATATATTTCAACTGACTTCCTTGTAAGTACTGTTTTTGAGCATATTCATCTCTTACAGTCAAGTGTTTTAAACCTTAAATCAATGTAATTGGTTAGGTAAACATTTATCACAGCACCGATTTTTCGTCAAATCTTGTTTTTCCAAAATGCTCCCATTTACAGTAGTCTTTAATGACAATCGCCCTAGTTGGGTGTTTGAAGAGAATTAACAAGTTACAAAACACTCCTAATAAAACCTTTAGCCATTCATAATCGTTTGGATTTCAACAATATGAATATTCAAACGAAATACATTTGTGTCATTCCTTTATGTAAAGCTTGTGGTAGCTATTAGATGAATTTTAATATTCATGGCTGTACATTTATTTAGGGGTTATTCAAATTTGTAGCACAGTATGAAAATATAAACATAGAATTTTATTCGACGAATGTAACCAAAACAGACAGCTAATATTCCATTAAGATAATTTTTATCAGTAAACTTGTCTCGTGGTTCACAAGAAACAAATATTACAGGTTGAATTTCTATAACAACTAATTAGCTTAACCATACTTTTACAGTTAACCGCGCAAATTCTA